ACTTGGTAGCCCAGGCTGGCCTCGAACTCACAGAGATCCACCTGGCTCTGCCTCCCGAGTGCTGGGATTAAAGGCGTGCGCCACCAACGCCCGGCCCTTTTGTGAGTTTTAAAGCCCCGAGTGGGAAAGGATTTCTGAAGGTCAAGCTGAGCGGCAGAAATGACTGAGGGTGTGGGGCGGCGAACACACAAAGACAGGCATGGAAATCAAGAGCGCTGTGCAGACACGGGCTAAGCCATCTGAGGCCTGAGTCTGGCCTTACTGCCTGAGGGAATCATTTTGCCTCATTGAACCTTCCTCTGCTCATCTGTGAAATGGGACTACTCATGTTACAGGCTCTGTACTGCTTAGCTGTGTGTCGTGCTCTTGACCTGGTGACTGAGTGTTGTCCTCACGTAGACACTGAGGCTCAGGGACAGAACCCACCTAGCAGGCTGGAAAGGGGCAGAGCTGGGATGGGAACCAAGGCGAGCCAGTGTTCATGTGAAGCATCCTGCATGCCGCCTGCCCCTGGGTCCCTGGCTGGAAGAACCCTGCGGCTACGCTGCAGGGAGGGTCAGGAAACAGCCAGGATGGCATTGAAGCAGTTGGCAGACAGGACACAGCTCTGGACCCCAAGAGTTCCCCTAGGGAGGAGTAGGAGGTGTCCTCAGGGACATCTAATCACTTGTTCACTCATGCCTGGTGTATCAAGGCTGGATGGGGGGGGGGGCTGGGTGAATGGTGACATCACCAGCTTTCCCCTGGAGATGTGTGAGGCCACTGCAGACACCCCAATTCTCCCCTCAGATCTCTATCCTTCAGATCTCTGCTGTGGGACCTTGGGCAAGTCTCTTTCCCTCCCCTGGGAAAGAGAGACAGGATCACATTAGGAGACAAGAAATGAACAAAGAGACTAAATGAATTAAATAAATGGAGAAAGTAGGCAGACTCAGTGAAGGGGAGAGAAAGGGGGTACCCATGTGCAGCTAGGGCAGCTAGGGTGCTAAGAGCCAAGGAAGAAGGTGGGGGAAAGGGTCCTGAGCAGGAAGAACAGGACAGGCAAAGGCCGTGAGGTAGAAATCAGTTTGTGCATCCAGGACCAGCGAAGTCAGCATCTCAGGTACCAAAGGGGGGATACAGAGGGGAGGGAGCCTGGGGGAGGGGAGGGATGAGCAGAACTAGAACCAAGGCGGAGAGTTTGTCTTTAGTCCTTGTCTACGGTGACACTGAGGCAGGGGAGGGAAGAGACTTGCCCAAGGTCACACGGTAGAGATCTGAAGGAGAATTGGGGTGTCTGCAGTGGTCTCACACTGGAGGCATATGGGGGTCAGACCCCAGACCCACCCCTGCCTCTTCCAAATGTGGGTCTCTGAGTCAACAGCTTCCATGAGGAGCTGGTCCTGATCACCCCCTCTTCCAGCCTCAACCTCCCCACTAACCAGGCCTTTATGGAGGGGTCTTTCAACCCTCTCCCCAGAGTTCTCACCCCCGCCCCCCGTCCTAAACCTAGAGGTCCCACTTTTGTCCCTGGGACATTTTCAGGTCCCCTTTGTTACCTGAACAATAAGTAACCCAGGTAGTTAGTTATAAACTCCGCAGGGACAAGGAGCTGGTTGATAATTTATAGCAACATCTCGAATTCAAATGGAAAGCAAATAGCGCGCTGTTAGCATTAAAGAAAACCAACCTGGGAGGGAGCGACTCCAGCCTCCTCCCAGCTCAGCTGCTCTCCCCTGCTCCGAGACCCTCTGCCTCCCTGCCTCCTCTGCTCTCCCAGCTCCTCCAGCCCTCTCCCTCCTCGTCCTCCCCGCGGTCCCTCTCCCTGCCCGCTTCCAGGACTCTGCCAGCCCCCTGGAGTCCTTTGACCTCTGCTCAGCTGCTTTGGACCAAGCCCGACTCCAGCCTCTACTGCCCCCACCGTGGGGGCTGCTGATCAAGAGGTGCCTACCTCGCCAGGTAAGAAGACCCGTGGCATCCCTGTCCCCTGAGCCTCACACCTGAGCCCCTGGTCCCCCCACCTGGCGCCCCTGAAGAGGTCAGGCCCGGCCCCACCCTATCCAGGTTTCTTGTGCCCTGGGTCTGGCAGTACCTGGCCCTTTGCCCCTCCCCTGCAGCGAGGCAGCCCTTTGCCCTCCGCTTCCTGCCAAGGCAGGGGGGCCTGACTGCTCCCCTGCCCCTTGCCCAAGGCCCAGGGAGGTTTCCCCCAACACTTCCAGAAATGCTGGGCTCCACCAGCCCTCCCCCCACCCCAAGTCAGGATCAGGACCTTGGACAGAAAAGCGGCGGCTCCCGGAATGTTCTCCGGAGAGAGACTGTTGGCAAACTCCTCAGCCAGCCCTCAGGCCCCTCCTTCACAGCTCCTGCCCGAGTCTGAGCCTCGGTTTCCCTATCTGTGAAGCTGATTTAGTAAGAGCCTCCCTCCGGGGGCTCACCTCCAGATTATGAGAATTCAGGCACCGTGGGGGAAAGCCAACAGAAAGTAGCGAGCGAGCGAGATATTCGCGTGAAAGTTGTGCCGGCTTTGGGAATGGGGGGGGGGGAGGGGATGTTGCTCCCCACAGCCCCCAGGTCACCCTCCCCCCACCCCGGTGTTCCGATTCTCCACCCCCCTACTGGGCATCTCCCAGCCACCATCCCTACAAGTTAATGATCACAGGCCTTATCAGAGCCTTTTGCTATTTATAAATTTATAAAACAAAAGAAATAATAAAGTGCATGGGTAATTAGTAACCAGGTCAGCTTTGCTGAGGAGAGGGGAGGCATCTAGGCTGGGACCCACCCAGCACTCCAGGAGACAGGGAGCCAGACAACGGATGAGGGGGTTTGGAGTGGGAGGCCTCTAAACCTGCTATCTGGCCAGGCTGGGGGGCACGTGGCCAGGCAGGGCAGTGGTCACCCCTAGGCTCCATCGGCCTCAGGTAAGAAATCCCCCGGTTTACCCAGCCTGATGCTTAAGGCCCCCCGGTGTGTCCGGAAATCCCCTAAAACCCCAACTTCACCCCAGCTTCCCCAGAAGCTTTTGGGTCCTCAAACCTGGGATCCGACCACCTAGCAAGGAGGGTGGACTTGGTGGGAGCATCAATGACCACCACAGTGGCTGAAGATGTCTGTCACCCTATGCGGCTTGGTTCCTTTGTCCTCAAAGTGACCTGGGGCCTGCGCCTGCTTCCTAAGGACCGGGCTGCAGACAGCAGCCCACCCATACGGCTATGTGGGAAGAGCAGACGAGTGGGTCCGGCAAGAACGCCTTGAACTCTCTCTCTCTCTCCCCTCTTGACCACCAGCCTGAGGTCCACAGAGGACTCTAGACGGGAAGTGGGCCGCTGTGGGCTCCTTCCGGGGTGCTGGGCACAGGGTGGGGTCCTTACTGCAGAAGCGTCTCCACCACGGCTTTCTGGTGGGCTGCCTCCTCCGGGCTGAGGTTCTCCAGCTCCTTCAGGATGGGTGGCGCGAAGTCTTCCCCATCGTCATCCGTATCCTCCTCCGAGCCGCGCGTCTCCCCCAGGCCATTGGGCAGCTCGGCCAGGTCTCCTCGACTGCCGCCACCGCAGGATTCCCCCTTGTCCAGGGGACCATCCCCACCCATCAGGTAGGGCCCTGGCTCCCCCAAGGCCTGAATCAGAGCCTCCTTGCTCAGGCCGGACTCGAGCAGGGCAGCAAGGAGCTCCGTCTGCAGCTGGCTGAGCTTGGAAACCATGGCTCCACTACCACCAGGCCACGCGGCCCAAGGCCACTGGGCTAGCCGCCTCCCCCACCCACGGCCGGTGTCTACTTGCCGGCAGGCTGGCAGTCACGAACCAGGCTGGCTGCACCCACTGCCCCCCCAAATCCCACTAGTCAAGCCCTGTGGGCACCCCCAACCCCCAACCCTGGCCCCAGCGGCCAGTGAATCAGGGCCCCTGCCTGCTCTGTTTACATTGGAGCTGGGGAAATTCTCCAAGGTTCATATTTATCCGTGTGCTTAGCGAAGGGGCTGAACTTTGGACTTCAGCCTTGCAAAGTGCAGGCCTCATGGCAGTGAGAGAGCATCCGGACCAGGAGCCATGGCCTGCAATTGGGAGTGCTCCGAGCAGAAGGGCGGGTGGGGGAGGTAGAGCCGGGCCAGGGGCGCGGGCATAGAGGTACCCGAGAGCCAGGGGTCCTCTGTGAGCAGCGCTGGGTCCCACTGCTTAAGGATCTCGGTTGTTTTCGGCCCCGGGGGCAGGAGAACTTTAAAAGCGTATTTCTTTGGGCCGCTGAAGCAGCAGGAAGCCCTGGGCCACTGAGCCAGTTCTCAAGGGCAGAGTTAGGTCACATTCCCTGAGTGGGGTCACTGCACCTCCATCCAAGCCCAGCACCAGACTCCCGGTGGGAAAAGCTTAAGACTTGTGTCTTAACACTTCGGACTTGTGTGTTGATGTCTATGCCCTCCCCATCATTGTATGATCCGGACCAGGAGGGTGTGTGTGTGCGCGTGCGTGTGCGTGTGCGTGTGCGTGTGTGTGTTGCTGTTGTTTTTCGAGGCAGTCTTACTGTATAGTACAGGTTGACCTTGAACTTCCGATCCTCCTGCCTCTACTCCCAAGTGCTGGGATTACAAGCCTGTGCCACGGCCAATCTTACGAAACCCAGGGTCTTATGTATCCTAGGCGAGGACTCTGCCAACTGAGCCACACCCCCAGCCCCCAAAATGCATCTTTGAACTTTTCTCAAGTATAATTTTCTTCAGTACGTTTCTCTTTTTGCGTGTGTGCGCATGCGTGTGTGCGCATGCATGCGTGCGTGCATACGTGTGCGCATGTGCGTGCGTGTGTGCGTGTGCATGCATGCGTGCGTGCGTGCGTGCGTGCGTGTGTGTGTGTGTGTGTGTGTGTGTGTGTGTGACAGCAGCTCGGGTGGGTGTGCAGGTCAGAGGGCAGCAGGAAGAGTCAGTTCCCTTCCGCCGTGTGGGAGCTCAGGTGCTCAGACTTGGCCATGGCACATTTCTTGCTGCCTTTTGAAATGTTCGCCTAGCAGGTTCAGTGTGTCCCCTGGCACTGCTGGTGACACACTGGTGCGTCACACCATCCAATCAATTTAGAGCATTTTCATCACCTGCTGAGCTGAGCGGCCACTCCCCATGCAGGTCTCTAGCCCAGCCTCTGGCCACCATGGACCTGCCATCCCTCTCTGCCTCCCTCCCTCCCTCCCTCCCTCCCTGCACTTGCCTCTCCTTAGCATTAAATTTTCCAAGCTCACTCATCCAGAGCACGAATTGATCCCCATCTATCCCTTCTCTGGCCATTACTTCAAGGAGACATGGCACTTCCCCATGCACCCGTGGGTGACTAATTATGGTCTCCCACCTTTGAGCTGTGGTGACCACGCTGCCCACAGCATCCACACTCAAGTTTTTCTGTGAATGTGTGCCTTCCATCCTTTCATTCTTTAAAGAAATACATCACATGGACAAGGAGTTCTGGGCCAGCCTGGGCTACATACTATAAATTAATCCTAAAAGCTCGTGGATAAAACAGCAAACTTCTCATTGGGGACAGGCCCATCCTCCCGGGCCTTCATTCTAGCCAGGCCTGCTGTTCCGCCAGGAGGGAGCTGGGCCCTCATGTCCCCCAGTGAAAGCCTTTTCCCAGTGAAAGGGCTGCCCCTAAACTGGGCTGTTTCCAGAACCTTCGAGGTTCTTCGGAGCCAGGCTCAAGTTTTGCAGTGGAGGAAACTATAGCCGGAAAGCCTCCAGGCCAGCAGCAGGCAAGAATGCATCGGTGAGCCAAGCACCCGAGACTGTCAGCCATGACCCTTCCCATGTCCCTTCCCATGTCTGGCGTTCCACACACACAGGAGTCACGGTCAACAGTCATGCCACCACGTGGCTACCAAGACCTCGAACGGTGGCTGAGACCTCTTGTTGAAATGGTGCTATTTTTGATAAACTGGGTTACATTTTAAAATGAAAACCAAATGAAATGTTAAAAGGGCTGGATACGTAGCTCAGCTGTAAAGCACATCCAGGGCACACAAGGGCCCCTGAGTTCTATGCCCCCCCACCCCCGCACACCCATTTAAAGTTTAGTTAAAGTAAACTTTAAGTTTAAAGTTTAAGTTAAAGTTAAAAGTAATTTGATTTTAAATGATTAAGTTAAAGTTTAAAGTAATTTAAATTGCATTTCATCAAAATGAAATCCATTATCATCATAGTATATTGCACCTAATTGTAATTAATTTTAGATTGTTTTCTAGTTTACTTATGGTGCTGGCGAGTTATAAGTCCGCTTGACACAGCCAGAGTCATTTGAGAAACGGGAACCCCAACTGAGAAAACGTCTCCACTGGGTTGGTCTGTGATGAGTTTTCTTGATGATTGATATGGGAGGGCCCAGCTCACTTGGGGCGGTGTACCCATGGGCAGGTGGTCTTAGATAGTACAAGAAAACAGTCAGAGCGAGCCGTGAGGAGCAAGCCATAGGGAACAAGCCAGTGAGCATCACCCCGCCATGGCCTCTGCATCAGCTGCTGCCTCCGGGTTCCTGCCCTGCTGGAGTTCCTGCTGACTTCCCTCAGAGGTGGAGTGTGACCTGAGAGCTGTAAGATGAAATAAACCCTTTCCTCCCCAAGGTCCTGTTGGTCATAATGTTTTATCACAACAATAAAAATCTTAGCCAAGACATTTTCTTATTTACTTTCTATTTCTGTTTTTTTTCTTCTTTTCTTTTCTTTTTCTTCTTCTTCTTTTTTTTTAAAGTGTGTTGCACCGGTCAGTGGTGAGCGCCTTCACCATTGAGCCGACTTACTGGCTCTACTTTGGTTTGGTTTGGTTTTGAGACAGGGTCTCACTATGAACCCTGGCTGTCCTAGAATTTGCTATGTAGACCAGGCTGGCCCTAAACTCACAGAGATCTGCCTGCCTCTGCCTCTGGAGTGCTAGGATTAAAGATATGCATGAATCAACATGCCCACAACTATGAATGTTGATAGTTTTTAATTATTATTATTACTTTTTTATCATTATTATTATTATTTTGAGACAGGGTCTCTTTACATAGCCAGGCTTGGTTTGTTGTTTTGTTTTTTTTAAGACAAGGTTTCACTAAGTAGCTGAGGTTAGCCTCAAACTCATAATCCTCCTGCCTCAGACTTCCAGGTGATAAGATTATGGACATGTGCCACCATGCCAGACAAATAATTTTTCGTTTGAAAATTTTGTAATTAGATGGAAACAAAAGGATCATGAGTTTAAGGTTAATTTCAGCTACATAGTGAACTTGACTAGCCTGGACTAGATGAGACGTTCTCTCAAAAAAAAAAAAAAAAAAAAAAAAAAAAAGCCAAGCATGATAGCACACACCTGTAATCCCAGCACTTGGGAGGCAGAGGCAGGCAGCTCTCTGTGAGTTCGAGGCCAGCCTGGTCTACATAGAGGGTTTCAGGACAGACAGGGCTACATAGTGAGACTGTACCTCAAAGAAAAAGAGAGAGAGGAAAAAGAAAACACCGATAAATAAATGAAAATAACAAAATCTCCCTTCTTTTCTTTTCTCTTTCACTGTTTATGGCTGGTTTTCATTATTTAGTGATCTATGGAGCCCAAGGGCTAGGATTACAGATACAGGCTACACCCAGTTTCTTTCTGCTTTTTTTGTTTGTTTGGTTTTTTTTTTTTTGGTTTTTCGAGACAGGGTTTCTCTGTGTAGCTTTGCGCCTTTCCTGGAACTCACTTGGTAGTCCAGGCTGGCCTCGAAC